AGTGGAGGATGCGACAAGCAGGAAAAGGAAGTGTTGGTTTATAAGCCAGGGTGTGAGCAGGCACAAGCCCACACTGACATCGGCGAGGAACACAGCGGCAGGGCGAGGAGACACTCCCGGCAGCCAATACAGAGCCTCTGCAGCCCCTGAGGGTGGGCAGCCAGGGGTGTGCCCAAGCAACTTTGGCTCCACCTGCTTTCTGCCACCAACATCAGAAACATAATGGCAACTGGTCAACTTTGGCTCATGGCTCTGCAGGCCAAAGCTGCGGGCACATGTCTGGTGATGACAGAGTCCTGCGGTGGTGCAGGGCATTGTGTGGCAAGAGACAAGGGAGCACGCGCATGTGGCTGAACCCCTGGCCTCTCTCACTCATCCTACACAACCCCGTGGGATCCATCCTGGGGACCTTACTCAACACTAATGTGCTCCCAAGCTCCTTCCCAGCACCAGCCAGATGCTGTTTCCTTCCTTCCAACATCTCACAATGAGGATTCATGTTCTTTCTCTTTTTTTTTAAGATTTATTTATGTTTTTACTGCAAAGTCAGATATACAGAGAGGAGGAGACACAGAGAGGAAGATCTTCTGTCCAATGATTCACCCTGATTCACTCCTCAAGTGGCTGCAATGGCCGGTGCTGCGCCGATCCAAAGCCTGGAGCCAGGAGCTTCCTCCAGTCTCCCACGTGGGTGCAGGGTCCCAAGGCTTTGGGCCGTCCTTGACTGCTCCCCCAGGCCACAGGCAGGGAGCTGGATGGGAAGCAGGGCTACCGGGATTAGAACTGGTGCCCATATGGGATCCTGGAGTGTTCAAGGCGAGGACTTTAGCCACTAGGCAACTGTGCCAGGCCCTTTTGCTCATTTTTTTAAAAGACATTTATCTGAAAGGTGGAGTATGGGGGACAGACAGGGGAGAATGTCCTCTGTCCACTCCTCAAACAGCCAGAGATGGACTAGAGCAAAGTCAGGGCACCAGCGCTAGGGTCACTTTGCACAGCCTTCCCAGGCCTTTAGCAGGAAGTTAGATCACAAAATGACCCAGGCCATTCCACATGGGACACAGGTGTCCAAAACATGGCTGTGCCCGCCGCTGGGGGTGAGTTCTCGGTCTGTGAGTATCAACCCACTCCAGCCACAGCCACACCATAGCAAGCAACAGCACCAGACAGCAGGATAAGAACTCCGTGGGAGGGGAACAGCCCGTGAGGAAGCTCCGAGCCCCTAGCCAGGGCAGCTGAGCACCTCTCCTGGCTACCACCCCAAACCTTGTACCCAATCCTATCGTGAGAAAATCATCAACAGATCCCAACACAAAGAACCCCGATCCCATGAAAGAATTGACCTTGAAACTATCACACTGCTCAAAGGCAAGGAGGGACACAGCCCCAAGGAACCCACAAAGGCTGGGATCCAAGCCAGGCCATCTCTGGCTGGTGAATTGGGGTAAGAGCTCCTGCCCGTGAGCCTGTGGTCCCCATGTCAGATCAATGCCAAATCAAGCCTGCGACTTGGTGTCCATGTGGAGTCTGGGTTGTGATAAAAGTACTGGGTGATTTAAGCTAAGACCAGGGGGCAGAGTGGGCAAGGCACACACATGGGAGCTTCTTAACTGGGCAACTCCTCCCCAGAGAAAGTTTTATACGGAAAAACAAAACAAAACAAAACAAAAAAAAAAAACACCTCTCATAGAGAGGTAGGCCACACACAGCACAGAAACGGTGACAGTTACTATTTGCCTTTTTTTTTCTGATCATGGAACAAGTACCTTGTTTAACATTTAACACTGCAGACACGCCCCAGCCCTTAACTTGCATTTTCAGCCAACTCTCAGTTGAGAGGCAGAGGGAGCCTTTCAATGTCTCACCAACTCTGCCAGGCCAACAAACCACCTTCTAGATGACTCCACTGCAAATGGGCAGGTTGAGTTGTACCTTTTTTGGCCACAGAGGATGCCATCCCACATTTCAGTCCCTTGCCGAGGTCAGCACTCTGTGGAGGATATTGCCTCTGCCCCCAGCCCTGGGCAGGCTCTTCCCACAAGGCCACGACCCCCTGCTTCACCAGCCCCCTTCATACAATGCTCCCTCCCAGGCTTTGGAATTGTGGGTGCAGTGGCACCTGTGAAAGTGTCACGTGACTGCCAGGCCATTCTCCAATCATTCTGAGAATGAACGAATCCTATTACTCTCCTAGCTTCACTTCTTTGGGGATGCCTCTTCCTGAACTGACAAATGTGGATGGCCACATTGTGACATCACAGATGTGGCAGTGGGATGGGACACCCTTCAGGGGACTGGCAGGTATGAGCCAGCAGGGGTGATGCAACGAGGGCTATGTCTCAGCACGGGGACCCCCAGAGAAGCTGGGTATCATTGTCAGTTGGAGCTGACAGCACGGTGCTAGGCCAGGGAGATGCCAGTGAAGAAATTTAATTCCAAACACAACACCCGCTTGCCCCTCACTCAGCCAGCAAGCATGCCTGTTCCTGGCACTCCAACCCCGTGCCCCTGCCCCCTTTGTGCGACCCAGGCCTATTCCAGAGCCCTGCGGCTGCTGTCCTCTTCTGGTCTCAAACACAGGGACCCCCTCCCTCTTGCCCATGGCAGCTCATGGCAGCTCACAGCAGCCTCCTCACACCCTGTCAGGTTGACTCCCCACCTATCCTGTGTACCAGAGCCACAGGCCCCAACACAGAGGGACAGGAGCCAGCAACTGGACTCAGTAACATGAGGCGAGAAGTCAGGTGCTGCGCCACACCTGTGCTGAGGCAGCAGGATCGGCCTTCTTCGATCCTGCCCAGTGGCTGGAGGAGGGCGCTCGGCTCATGTCGCAGCAGGCAGAGCCCTGTGGCCAGGGTCCCTCCCCAGCTGGAGCACATGCGAGGGCACATGCCCCATCTTACCACACAGCTCACAGCTTGTATATTACCTTTTGGAAAGACATCCCCCAAGCACCTGGGACATCAGCAGACCCCAGACATGCTTGTCACCCGTGTCCGTGTCTCCTGTCCCTTGCTGACTTACTTGAGTACCTGAGCCAGAAGAAGGTGGACTCCTTACAGGCAGGAACCCACTTGTTGCTTGTGCTGTGTTCCTGCTGCCTGGTACATACCACACGCTCAGTTAAAACCCTGACTGGACTTCGGACTCAAATCCCTGGTTTGCCAACCAGAAAGTATCAGTTGCTACCATTGGGGGGCTCCTCAGAGACCACCAGAGTGATCTTTTAAACTATTCAGGCCCACAGAGCTGGGGATAATCATTATCAGTTTGCCCAGACACAAGTCACTAAGTAAGAAGTGCTTGCTACCCTACCATGTGTCAGGGCAGCCCTCCTGGCAACTTTGAGGATCCTGCACTACTGCCCTGGCTGGGACTGGCTGTCAAGCACCAGCTGTCCCCTGCCAGTCCTGAGAGCCAGCTCTGACCCCCTGCAGTGTGCTCTTACAGCTGAACCACAGGGGAAAGAGGTTGGGAAAGCACTCTGCATGACCACGCCAGTCTAGTCTTCCTGTCCCTCCTTCCCGCTTGGACAGTGGACATGGCTGCTTCCAGCAGGCCAGGGTCAGCCCTCAGTGGGCCTCTGCTTGGACTGGAGCAGTGGGGTGAGAGAACAGGTGACTCCCTCTGAGGGCTGGAGTGCTGGGCAACCTGGCCCGGGCTGGGTACCAGTCCCCAAGCAAGCCTGTGGCTGAGAGCTTTGAGCAGTCCACAGACTGCACGAGCGTCCCTGGCAGTTCTCATCTTGGGACTGCGAGTCAATATGGAGACTAGAAAGCACCGGCTGGGGGCAGAGGTGCCAGGTAAAAGCACCAGCTAGGGGCAGTGGTGCCAGGTAAAAGCAGCCTGGACCCTTGCCAGGAGGAGCCCTCACACCAGACCTGGACTACCTTCTAGACTTTGTTTCATTTTTTAAAAAAGTTTAATACTTTATTGTGAAACAACTCTGAAGCCTCAGGAAAGCCGTGGGGAGCCCCTCTCCTTGTGCTGGCCCCGTCTGCTCAGCCCCTCTGACTCCCTCCCTCCCTTCTCTGTGGGTATTTCTACAGGTCGCTACAGAGCTGCAAAGCCGCCATACTGCTCACAACCCAGCGTGCCTGGCCCCAGACACACACCAACAAGTGCCCCATCACCTCCTAAGGAGATTAGCCCTCTCTGGCTGTCACTTAGTCTGACTTTTTGTGAAGTTGTCAAGACTGAATCACCTTCACCCCTGAGATTGTGGACACAGGGGAGGGTTCAGAGTGCTACTGGATCTCAGCCATACGCATTCCCTCCCTGCCCTCAAGGCACCAACCCTCCCTGCAGCTCCCACCTCTGGCGCACCTTGCTGTCTCAGAGCTTTTCCTGTTGGCCACTGCGGTGCAATTGCAAAAACTCACTGTACTGCGACCAGCGCCTCTGCTCAGGCTCCAGAGGAAGCCCTGTGCCCACGATGAAACCACTGCCTCCCGAGGCCCTGGCACGCCTTCCCCATGGCAGCTCCCGCCTCCCTGAACCCTCCCATGTGTGCAGTCACCTGCAGCCCCTCCAACCCACATCCCTCAGGCTCGGTTGCCAGCACAGCCTGGAATTGTCCTGTCCCTGCGGTCAAGGTCCCTCCCGTTTGTCCTCAGAAACAGGGAGCGTGCCCTGGCCTCCTTCCTCACATTTGTGCAGTGACGGCTGTGTGTGTGGCGAGCTGGGTCTGCCTCCTGTATAGCGCATGTGGGGCTTAGCCTAGCAGGGATCATGCAGAGCAGGCACTCAGGGATAGTTTGTTAACAGAACTTTTACTTGAATGAACGAATGAAGTGTGAAGGTCTTTACAGCAAAATCATTTCGCTGTCCTCCGCTGTGACATGGTGGCACTGGGTGTGGGGGCCCTGCCTTCCCCTCACATGTCCATATACGGACGCGAGGCAGCGGGCGGGGGCTCCTCTGTGAGGTCTCACCCTCTCTGACCTCACAATGCCCAGGGTGGCCTCCGCTGTCTATAAGAGGCCGGGGGGTGGGCCTCTGGCTCACAGCCCACAAAGTTCCACCTGCTCACAGGTTGGCTGGCTCAACCAGGGTTGTGCCCCGAGCTCTGAGCCAACTCTAGGCCAAGTCCATCCGGCACCATGGTCAGATACAGATGCTGCCGCAGCCAGAGCCGGAGCAGATGCCGCCGCCGGAGACGAAGATGCCGACGCAGGAGGCGATGCTGCCGGAGGCGAAGAGTCAGGAGTAAAAAACCATCCAGCCTGGGGTGGGTGGGCTTGGCGGGGGAGGGGGTTTCCCTCTCACACTGCCTTGTCTGCTCCCCACAGGGTGCTGTCGCCGCTCGTACACCCTCAGGTGTAGACGATACTAAACGCACAGAACAGCGGATCCACCAGACTCCTGCCTGAGAATTTTACCAGACTTCAAGACCCTCTCGTCACATCTTGACAAAGCCATCGTCCCATGACAAACAGGAGCCTGCTCAGGAACAATGCCACCTGTCAATAAATGTTGAGATCATCCCACTCAATGCCTCAGTGTGTCTGTGGGGGCGCTCGGTGGGGAGCAGAGCTGCTGGGAAAGGCCAGAGACTGGGATGGAGCCCTGGACTTTGTTCCAAACCCAAGGCTCAAGCTACCTAGACATCTCTGCACGATTGGGTCCTGGGAGCTGCTGAGGACCCCGCTGTGTCTCAACTGCACTCAGGGCTTGGCAGCCTGAGCTGGGCCCTGGGGGAGGATTTACACCACAGACTTGGCCAACACCATAAACCGGGGGCTTCCTCCAGCCATAGGGTGCGTGTGGGTCCCCGAGCCAGACAGACATTCACCAGCCTGACTTCTACACTGATACCTATGCCTGCATGTCACTGCCCACATCCCTGCTCTCCCAGGCTGGTTTCAGGACTTGAGTCCCTACTGGGGATGAAGTGGGGGGTGGGGTTCCTTGGTTATAAGTAGATCATTAAACACAGTTACTATTGGAAAACCAAGCTCAAGATTTTTTTAGTCTAGTGGCCCGTTGGAGTTTTTGATACACTCGAGTCAGCAGGTGAGCTAACCTGTTGCTCCAGGCAGAAGGCACATTATGAGAGAAGACAAAGGTCAGCCTGCCCAACTGGTCTGACCCGCACCCCCTTAGTCCACATGACACACTGTGCTGCCAAACCCCAGGGAATTAAACAGAGGGACAAGTCCGTGTCCAGACAGGAAGCTGCCTGGACACCAGTCCACTGGGGTCCACAACCCACTACACCCCAGCTGAGGACTCAGCGTGGATCTTGGCTCACAGTCATTTCAGGTCATTCCTCAGTGACTAGAAGCTCTGAGGCAAAGGGACAGGGACACTCAGTGTTGTGTGCCTGGGACTCTTCCATCAATCCCAAAAGGCAGGTGCTTGCTTTTTTTTTTTTTTTTTTTTTTGAGGAGGGGGCTTTAAATTTCACTTGAAGGGAGGGCTAGGGAGGGGGAGAGACATTCTTATCCGCCAATTCATTCCCCAAATGTCCACAGTGGCCAGGCCCTGGGCTGGGCTCAAGCTAGGAGTTAGAAACTCAAGCCAGGTCTCCCTTGTGACTGATGGGACCCAGCTACTGAGCCTACATTAGCAGGAAGCTGGAACTGGCAGCGGAGACGAGCCTTGAACCCAGGTACTCCACGTGGCATGTGGACATTTCAATCCCTAGACTGAACGCTCGACCCATCTTTTTAAAAAGACTTATTTGAAAGAATGACATTGGGAAGAATAGGAAGAGGGAGACAGAGAAGCGAGAGAGAATGAGAACTCACATTTTAGCTACTTGTAAATTGAAATGTAGAGAAAAATCAAGAAAATGGGGTGAGAGGGGAAGGGAGGATGGAGAGAGACGCGAGAAAGAACAGATGGTGGTGGAGGGGTGTAATCTTCCATCTGCTGACCCCAAATGCCTACAGTTAAGGCTGGACCAAGCAGAAGCCAAGATCCCAGAACTCCGTCTGGTCTCCCACACAGATGATAGGATCCTGAGATCTTGGGCCATTATCTGCTGCCTCCTGGGCACACAGCAGGAAGCTGGACAGGATGTGGAGGAGCTGGGAATTGAATCAGCACTGTGATATGAGATGTAGGCACCCCAACAAACAGCTTGGCTCACTGCGCCCCAGCACCTGCCCTTCCCACATGTTTTACCACATGCCCTCGGGGAGCCTGACAGCTGGCCCCTGTGGAGGCTTCTCATGGCAAAGAGGGGCAGCCTGCACACACCGAGGGAATGGTGAGAGCCCCCTCAGCACCTCGCTGCACTTCAAGTCATCCACAGCCATCTTCCTTTGCTACCGTTAAGGAAGCACAACTTAAGGCAGCACAAATTTATTATTATTATAGGATTATTATCCTATAATCTGTAGGCAAGAATTCCAAAACAGGTCTCATGGGGGCTAAAATTAGACCAATGGCAGGACTGTTTTCTTGCTGGATGTTCCAGGGAGGAAAATGGCTTTCCTGGTCCTTTCCCACCCTCAGAAGCCACCTGCAGTCTCTGGCTCGTGGTCCCAGAGCCTCAGTCTCTCTTCCTCACCTGCTGCCTTCCACTTCCATCCTATGGGATCTGTGATGGCCCTGGACCCACCTGGCTAAGCTCAAGGTCTTCAACTTATCACATCTCCAAAGGAAGAGATCTCAGGGGTAGGGATTAGGACGGGGCCGGCCTTGGGAGTTGGACTGAGCATGTGCAGTCTGGAGTCGCCTTGCCTGGGTCTGAGCCCTGGCCCATCTCGCCCCCTCCATCAGCTTGGGTACCTCGAGCAGTTGGCTGTCTCCCCCTTGTGCACTGGTGACTGATGGTTAGCATGGAGAAACGTTAACTCCTAGGTCACATCTTGCCATTGTTTATTGGTGCAGGCAACCATTAATGGAAGTGCTTTGGTACCCTAGACTGCGGCATGGCCTTGATATAGTGGGGAAGTGTCTGCAATCAGTAAAAGCTGGCTCTTTTTCTTGGGACCTGCTACCAGGACCTGTGGACACACTTTATAGGCAAGGCAAGAGGGTGCTGGCCCTCCCAGCCCTGGTCCAGTCCAGCACGGCCCTCACAGAGGGGGCTGGGCAGAGCAGAACAATCATAGGTGGGGCCGCTGGATCATAGTGGGGGTCTCCTTTATATACAAGCCTCCAGGACTCCCACAACATTAACATCAAGAGCAGGTGAGCAGGCCTCAGCCCTCCCCCACGCAGTCACAGCCTCTGTCCCAGCTGCCTGCCTCTCGACACAATGGTCCGGTATCGGGCGAGAAGCCAGAGCGAACACGCACACGACAAACACGAGCGGGAGCATGAACATGACGACCAGGACCCGGATCAGGAGCTGACGCCCGACAACGAGGCCTTTGGAAGGACACACAGAGGCCGCTGTTACCGCAGACGCAGGCGTTGCTCCCGGAAGAGGCTCTACCGGATCCACAGGCGCCGGCGCAGGCGGATCTGCCGAAGGCGCCGGAGACGTGTCTGCCGGCACCGGAGGCGCCACCGTAGAGGTTTGCTCAACCCAGGGTGACCCCAGACCTTTTGCAAAGAAGGGCAGGGGGAGGCCAGGATCTCACCTCACCTGACAGCCTCCTAGAAAGACCCCAACCTCACCCCCACCCACATTCCCCAGGCGATCCCTCACCCAGAACTTTATTTTTCAAAAGCTTGCAGACAATCCGGGAGGAGGAGAAGATACAGGAGGCACCAATGAACCTTCCGCTACCCTGGCTAGAAGTCACGACCAAATCACTGTCCAAGAACCGGAAGCGAGGCTCTAAGAACCTGCCCACACCCGATGCTGCCGCCCTCAGGAGCCCAGAGGCCTGTGTGAGATGAGAAAAGTCACCTGCCAAATAAAGCTGCCCAAATACACTGCCCTTCGACTCTCTGTGGGGTGCGGCACCGAGCTGGCTTCCCGCGGGGGTGGGCCAGGGCGAGGGCCCTGACAGTGCCCCCACCACGTTCCATACAGGGGCCTGTAACCAAGGGGGCTGTGAACCTGAACACTGCCATGTGCCCTGCCAGCGGACCATGATGAAAAGCTGCCTCTGTTTTTCTGCTCAGACATGTAGATCACCTTGTGTGTACCACAAAGGCCTACTCTGTGCCAAAGGTTTAACACTCGGTTCAGTGGCATACCGGTTAAGCTATTGCCTGGGACACCAGTTCCACTTCTGATCCAGCTGCCTGCTAATGTACCTAGGAAAGCAGCAGCGGCAATGACCCAGGTGCATGGGCTCCTGCTGCCCAGAGGATGGGATGGAGTTCCAGGCTCCAGGCCGTAGCCAGGCCCAGCCTCAGGGTTGTGGCCATACAGGCAGTAAAGCAGCAAATAGGTGTGTGTCAATCATGTCTGGTGGAGTGTGAGGGCAGGGGCTCTGAGGTGGGGAGCCAGGTGTGGCAGGCTCCAGCAAGAATGAGTTGGGTACTGTGAGGTCTTGCGCCCCTGGGGGGTCGGGGGAGGCTTCTAGTTTGTCAGGAGGCCACCTGAAGTCTGTAGGATAATCAGGCTCCATGATCAGGACGTGGCTATATTAGAGGGTCACCATCCCAGTGCCCAGAACCCCCCAAGAGGGGGTAGCAAACGGGCCATATCTGAAGCAGAGCCCCTTATGGTAGTGGTCTTCCTCGGCCCTCCCTGGCTCGCCCTGGAGACCCGCAGGGGCTGGAGAGCCTGACCAAGATCGGTTCCATGATGTGTTCAGAGAGATCTGGAACCTCGCCAAGGTCAAGATTTCAGAGGGGGGACTCCATTTGGCCGGCTGTGGGGCTCTGGCCAGCCCCCACCAGCAAGCAGCCCTGCAGGGGCACAGCCCCTCCCCCAACCCCCAGAAGTAGCAGCAGAACAATCCAGAGTTCCGTGTTCCTCTGTGATTGGGGAGGACGCACTGAGGCCCCATACTGGTCAGCGCGGAGCCAGCAACCAGCAGGTCAGGGTGGTGTGCCTGGCCCCACCCCTACCCTCACAAACTGGCCGCAGCGCTCTCTGGCCAAGTTCTTGACATGGGAGGAGTCTATGAGGCCAACCCCCCATCACCAAGAACAAATTCCTCCCCTAAGAATCGTCCAAGCAACACGGGGACTTCTGGCAGGGCAGAGGACGCTGCTGGCAGAGTTGCCCTGACACTGGCTCCCTTGCCTTACCCTGTGGGTGGTACAGGTGGGGGTCCAGGGCTGTGGAGTAGGGGCTGGGAGCCTCTTTGTGATGTCAGCACCCTACCGTTCACCCTCACAGCCCCTGTGCTGCCCCATCTGCCTCTCCTGCTAGTCCAGAGATTTGGGCCACGTGGACAATGGGTTCCCGGTGTGCCAAGCTCAGCACAGGCCACGGCACAGGCCACGGCCGGGGCCATGAATCCTCCATGAAGAAGCTCGTGGCCTGCGTGAGTCAAGATAACTTCTCCCTGTCCTCAGAGGGTGAAGAGGAGGAGGAGGAGGAAGAAGGGGAGGAGGAGGAAGGGGAAGAGGAGGAAGAGGCACTGCCGGTGCAGGGCAAGCTGTTACTGAGGAAGCCGGAGCAGCATGAGCAGGGCGCTGAAGACAGCTCTGTGGCCCAGCAGAGCCCCAAGACCAAGCAGACGCACTCCTGACCCACAGGCAGCGATGCCAGCCCCGCGGGGTTATTCTAGCGAGAACTTTCGGAAGAGTCAATAAAAGTCTCCAGAGAATTCTCTCTGATCCTTCATGCTGCCACTCGGGTGTGTGTACGTGTGCATGTGTGGGGAAGGGATGGGGAGGCCAGCCACCAGGACTGGTGGAAAGCAGGGGTGGTGGTCCTTTTGTGGACATCCATCTATGTGCAGGTCCTCCCGCCATGGAGGGTGGGCCAGAGGGCAGCAGGGGCTGAAATGTCACCTGTGGGAAGGTGGGGGTCTCTTCTGTGGGACTTCATCCTGTTGTCCTGGACACTGGCTGCTTCTTGCTAATGGGCACTGGCTTGGGAGCTCAGCATGGAAGGCCCCAGGCTCTTGGCTGCTGGCCACACTGTGTAGAGTAGGTCATTGGTGGCTGATCTCAACTGGCCACTCCTCACACAGGAAGCCAGGGGTGGGACAGGGAGACTGCCCAGAGGAATGGGCAGCACCCAACTAGGCCAGCATGCTGGCTGGGGCTCTGGCACCTGTCTGGCTCACCAGACTGGCACCTCAGCTGCTGGTTCTGCTGCCCCCTCCTTGGTCACCATCAATGCCCTCAATTGGAGCTCACTCCTGCTCCCTCTACCTACTGCAGAGGTCCAGCTGTGCAGCGGGGCAGGGGTACAGGGCAAAGGTGACACAAAGCTAAGGCCCCCTCAGGGCTGGCTGTGCCTTCTGCTGCTTGCCTGGCTCCTGACTCCCATCCCCTCTCTGCACAGAAAAAACTGCACATGAGATCTTGGTCCTGTTCCTGGCTGGCAGTGGATACGGGGGTGGGGAGGGAGCCAGGGTCCTCAGGAGGACTCCATTCCCTTGGAGTGAGGCTAATGGAAGTGAGGCAGCTATAGCAGCCTGCTGATGGACTAGGGCGGACAAGAGGGGAGCAGAGGCCCACCGCTTTAGGACTGGCACCCCAGCACCCCACCACCCCACCACACCAGCCTTGACTTCTGAGAGAGTCCCACTGCTCCACCTGCCCACACACTGGCCCAGCAAAAATCTGTGAGCCCCTGTTACAGACCAGACCTGACGCTAGTCCCCAGGGAGCCTCGTGGTAATAAAGCAGAGCCTCCGCCTCCGGAGACTCCAGTGTGACGGGTAGGGGCACGCTGTCTCCTTGCACTGGCAGCAGTGCTTCTCTGAGGGCGGCCAGGGGAGCCCGCCGCTGCTGCTGGCATCTTTCATTTGAAGGCGGGGAGGCAAGAAGGAGGCCCAGAGCCCCATAAAGAGTCCTCAGGGGGTGGCCTGGCACACACTGCCCACGCACAGCAGGACCACTGGAGCAGAGCTGCTTCGCAGCAGGGGGCTAGTCCCAGAGGGAACCAGCAGGGTGGCTAGTCCTGGGTTCTCCATATCAGAACTCTTAGACCTGAGCTCGGTTCTGCCTGTGATCCCAGCTCCTGGCTAAGGCACACCTCAGAGCAGCAAGTGACGGTGCTGCTACATGTTGTGGGCCAGGTAGAGTTCTGGGCTCCTGACCCAGCCTGGCCCAGCCCTAATAGTCACGGACACTTGTGGAGGCAGCAAGCTGATGGAAGGTCTGTGTCTTTGCCTTTCACATAAATGAAAAAAAATTTTTTTTTTCCTTAGAGAAAATGAGACAGGCAGGTGTGGATTTGAAGCCGGGCTCTGCCACTGCTGAGCTAGGGGCCCCTGGGCTGGTCACTCCACCTCTCTGGGCTGCTCCCCTCTTTGCTAAGTGGACTCAGCCTACCCATCCCACTATCAGACTGTCACAAACACAGTGGCTCAAAGCAGCACTTGACGGTCTCATGGTTCTGGTGGCTGAACCTGCCCACAGGTGCTGGGTTTTGCTCCCAGAGGACCCCCAGGAGGCTGTTTCTGCCACCTGTGGCACATGTGGGACAGACACTGCTGGGCTTGTGGTTCCATCTTCACATGGCCTTCTCTTCCACTGGAGCCAGGAGTGACCATGATGGGTCATTATCATGCGACCAAGCCTGTGGCTGACAGTGGGCATGGCCATAAGACACCCATCTCCCATACCAAAGTGTTTAGGTTCAAGTCCCAGGACACACAGATTAAGAGCCTGCTCAGATAACCCTCACTCACCACAAGATTCTCAGCTTCACATTCTGCACAGGCCCCTTTTCTAAGTAAGATCACACTGACATGTTCCAGGGCCATGATATAAATGCAGATATGGGGTTATTGTTCAACCTACTATAAGGGGCCACCTGGGGCGCAAAGGAAACGGTCAGTGACCACGGCAGCTTTCCCTGCGAGTTACGTGACAGACTTCCTCAGAAATGAACAGTAAAGCAGATGGAGGGACACCCCCTCCATCCCCCCGACATGCCCCACCCCCGTCATCTGATGAAAGGTGTGCATGGAGACAGAGAAGGAAATGAGCCAGCCTGGGGAGGGTAGGCAGGCAGGAGGAAGGAAGAGGGTTGGGAAGGGGCGGGAAGCAGAGGACAGGGGGAGGGTAGGACGGAGGGGGAGGGCAAGGGGGAGGGCAGGCTGCAGTGGCCGAGCCTTGGGAAGGGGGCTCCCTGGACCTTTCCTCCAGGTGCAGGCAGTGGTGGAGGTGTCCAAGTGAGGTGGGAGTGTGATCCCAGGGTCTGCTGTAGCTGGGCAAGCATGTCAGCCTCATAGTACACAGGAAAGACGCCCTGTTGTCCCATAAGCTGCCACCCTGGAAAGCTGCGGTGGCTTCTGTACCAGCAGACCTCAGTATAAACCGGCTTGGAATCTGGCTCTGAGTGCTGCTGGGCAGGCCCCTGAGCACCGGTCACGTTCATCGCTGTGTGGAGCCATAAAGGCCATCCCCTCCCTGTGTACTCAGCCTCTGCCTCCCTGATCCCCACCCGCCCAACATCCAGGCTGTGTGGGGGCAGAGCAGACAGGACAAGACAGTGGAACAGGTGCTGTTCAAAACGCGCAGAGGGCTGGGCCTGCACTAGCTGCTTGAGGTAGTCTCTTAGTCCTTCCAAATGGCTTGTTAGGGGGACACAATTACGGTTCCCATTCTACAAAGACGAAGAAATTGGTGATATCTAGGGCTGACAGTTCAGCCAGGCCCACGGGAGTCCCCACGCTGTCCCTCAAAGCGGCCCCACCCTGGCCAGGCCCAGTCTGTTACACCCATCCCTGTGTCATAATTGACCACAGCTATATAACTAGGGCCTGCCGGGGCCTCTGGAAAGCGGGCCTGCTGGGAGAGGAGGAGGAGGCTTCTTGCCCCTCCAACCGTGACCTCCCATGGACACCAAGACACAGAGCCCTCCCATCACCCACACTCAGACCCTCAGCAGCTCTCGGCCCCAAAACCACACCTGCAGCCAGTGCAAATGCAGCCGTCACTGCCAGAACTGCAGCCCGAACTGTAGCCGCTGCCAGAACCGCAGCCGCAGTCGCAGCCGCAGCCGCAGTCGGAGTCGCAGCCGCAGCCGGGGCCCAAGTGGCTCCCGTGGCCCACCCAGCCACCAGAGCCCGAGCCCGAGCTCCAGCCTGCCGCCAAGGCACCACAAACAGACCATGTACTCGCATGTGCGGTCCACCACCCACTGCAGCAGCTGCCCCAGGAACAGAAAGAGCTTGGATGGAAAGGTGAACAAGAGAAAGATGGTCAGGAGAGGTCATCAGGTGTACAAGACCAAGAAACGAAGCTCAGGTAGGAGCTGTGAGTGTGTGGGGGCGGGGGAGGCAGACAGGCGCTCTGGGCCGACCTAGACCAAAGGGAGACCAGCTGGCCAGCTCAATGCTGCATGCTGGGCTGCCTCTGGGGGGACAGAGAATCACCAGACTAAGACTGGGTTAAGTCGCTAGATGGGAGAGCTGGGATAGTTAAAATGAGTGGAACGGATAGGATTATTTGGATAGATCAATGGATTGAACTGATGCATTGGTTGGTTAAGGACAAGGGCTGATGAGTTGAAAAATATTTTTGAAAGTTGAATTGCATGAGTTTTGTTGGCTAGGTAGATGGATAAACGAAATTAATGGACGTGTGGATTATAAAGTGATCGGCCTGTGGGATGGAGGAATAGATTAAGACTAATAGGAGAAGATGGAAAAGAACGAGACGTTGGTTCAAAGGATGGAATGAGCTGATGGGCAGAAGCATGTGCATGGATTCACATCCTCCAAAGGACCCTGATGACAAACCAAGCTCTACCAACGCCCCCTGTTCAGTGAGAGGAGTCTGGGGACTTTTCCAAATGTTGATATTAATGGTCCCCCTTTTGCTCTTCTTTAGGGCGCAAATGCCACTGATGAGAAGGCTCTCCCTGGCTTGTTCCTGTGCCAGCTGCACTCAAATGAGGAATGCCGCCTCGCACGAAATCTAGGACAAAGTCAATCTTTGCAGGAACATGCTACCATGGTGATTTCTATGCAACTATGATTAAAGCTGGTACACCGGAGGACTAATCTTGAGTCAGAATTTTTATTTCATGAATAAAGGTGTCATGTTTGGGGGCTTACTCTGGAGGCACAAAGCCAGAGAATTCCATAGGGAGCAGGGACATGTCTGCGACGGGCTGTCCACCAGCACAGGGGTTGAGATGCCAAGATGTCAAGAACTGTTGGAAGTGGACAGGCATAACTCTGCTTGGGCAGTACCACTGGCCTGTCTGCTCCCATGTGTGTATACATACACAGTGCCCACGGGTGCATATGCAATTCCTGGGGCTCTCATGCGGGAGCCATTCTAAGCCTGACAAGACAGCTGCACAGGAACGTGCGTTTGGGAGTCCAGGACATCCGGAGATTGAATCCTGTTTGAGATGCTGGGCTGATTACCAACTCAAACCCACATATTCTAGAGGAAGTTTAGAATTTCTCTGTTAAGCGCCCACGTGCATCCAGGGACCATGCTAGGCTCTGGGTACACAGAAATGGGACACTAGGCCTGCCCTCTGGGGATCTGCAGCTCAAACGCCCAGGCCATGCTGGCTGGCTTTCACTGCATAAGAGAAGCAGGGCAATGAGATGCAGGTTAACTTGGGTAGCAGGTTAGGGAGGACCCCATGGTAACCTCAGAGAACAATGCCTGCAGGCTCAGGGGACAGACTGAACCAAACAAAGCTGCAGGTGAGGAGCAGGTGTGGAATCTCCAAGACCAGAGCGGCTGACACAGCAAATGTGGGAGGTGGGCCCCATGCTAAGAGTCCCTGGCAGGGCCAGCTGGAGGGGCTGCAGGCTGGGCAGGGTCCTGGGTTTACTGCTGGCATGACGATGATGGGAGCAAAGGGACATGCCAAGCTCCTAGGGGTGTTTTCAAAGATGCCCTTGACCACTCTGTACAGATTTTAGAGTGGCACAGAGCGCTTCCCACACAGGTGGGAACCCCCAGGGAGGATCCTGCAGAGACACCACCTTGGATCTCCTTGCTAAAGCCCAGAGGATACAGAGAGCAAAGGTGGAAACAAGTCAGCACTTACAGGCGGGGAGTACACAGTCCTGAGAGCCTCTACCATGGGTGCAGCACACCAAGCCCCAGAGAAATGGCAATGGATGGAACGCAGTGCCAGCCGTCAGAGGACTGGAGTGGCCAGTGCCTCAGGCAGATTAGCCACTGACCTTCCAGCCCAACAGCTTTGGCTTCAGCGCCAGACTCAAGCTTGCCCTGAGAGCCCTGGGTAAGCACTGTCCACTCTGAACTCATCTCTGTCCCTCCTCCAACAACTGGGGAAATGACTTGGGTCCCAGGGACTCCACACCTTGATGAGTGGCACCAGACCCGTGCCACATCATCTTCCTCTGGGCACGTCTGCTGACACGAGGGAATGGGAGACTACACTGGCATGGAAATACCAGGCTGGTGATAGCGGAAGGTCAGCATTCAGATTTTCACAGGGGACCTGGGGTAAGCCACTCCCCACTGCGTAGCCACCAGGACAAGGCCCACAGGGCATCCAGAAGAGGGTTTGCTTGGTTCTATTGGCATGACTCCATCTTGGCCTCCATCCCATGGGGCCCTCTGTCCACTGCTCACAGCAGGCAAGGTTCCAGGTAGCTCCCAGGCATCCTGATTAGAGGACATGGCAAGGCCCACATGAGCCAGGGAATCAACATTTATCGCGCATCTTGTCAGTGCCCACTGAATGCACACATCCTCTGCAGGCAGCTCCACTGTGCCCACTTCACAGACAGAGCAGAGGTTTGGGATGGGGTGGGGATGGTGAAAAACCCTAACCCAGTAAGTCTCCCATGAGAGAGCCACCAACACGCAGGGCAGAGTCTGTGAAGTCCTCCTGGGAGCACGTTTTGAGAGAGGAGGAGGAGACGGAAGGTCAGAGGTTAGGGCATAAACTCTGAGCCCCTCTCAGCACAGCTGCCCCCACTCCACAGGCAGTGTCTTCTGATCACTGTGGGCAAAGCCTCCTCCATCCTACACGCACAGCCCGTGCCTGGTAGACAGAAGCAGATTGCACTGGGTCTCGTGCATGGTTCAGCGACCTGTCCTTAGGTCTGCATTTCCTGCAGCCAACACTGACACACAGTGACACAGGGGCAACAGCCGTGCAAACTCACAGAGGGACTGACACTCCCGTAACACACACAGGCACTCCCACCAACCCTGCACCTAGCCTCAGGGGACTCAGACAAAAGGCAGCTGTGGTGGGAGGGATGACAGACCCACACATGCATCCCCTCCTCCCTCTGGGGACAGGGTGGTTGTAGGTTGAGGCGGGCTGGCTGGAAACCCAAACTCAGGAAATGGAGAGGAAACAGGAGGCAAATTCAGCCACCGAGAGTGAATGCGGCTTCTGCAGGTGTCTGGCCCTAACAACCTGGCCTGGAGACCCAGGGGAAGGAGGACAGACACAGCGGGTGACCTGAACCCTGGCACCCTGGGGCACTGCCCAGTCCTATTGCCCCAGCCATGCTGCACTCCCAGGACTGTGGGAAAGATGAAAGAAGAGAAGCCTGATTTCTGATTTCTGATTTTGCTTGTGGGCTAAGGTTTGCTCAGTCCTGCCCGGTCCACCCCATTCCATTACCAATCCACACACTGGCCAGCCATTGGAGCTACTTTGCCCAGCTTGTCAGACCCCCAGGTCTGGACCACGTGTTCACCAGCGGGAGCTATGACCCACCAGGGGAATTTCCTAAGTCCCTCTACTTGACCCACTCCCAGTTCTCATACATGCCATTGGGCTTTAGGCCAGTGTCCGGCATAGTCTGGCCTTCCAATTGGCTTTGTATGAGCTGGTGAACGTTGCAGTCTGGCCCACCCCACACCCTATTCAGGATGCACATTTGGGTGCTGCTGCCTTGACCAGTCCGGACTATTGTCGGTTCCTTAACCTGTGAGTGATGGCAGGTTCCTTGGTCACACCTAGTTTAGTCCATCACCCCTTCAACTCTTGAACTAACTAGTGGAACTAGTATTTCCACGGGGTTTGGCCCACACATCCCCCACAGAATCTACCCCCAGATATGGTTTTCTCGTGTGCTACTTAATGTCATGTCCTTGCCTAATATGGGACATATCGACTTGCCTAATGACCCGTTTCCTGATCCATCATCATGTCAGGTTATAGGATATGGTCCTGCTAGACAAGCCCTGAGCCTTAGCTTTTGCATGCACTGCTATTCAGTGGTCAGTATTATTAAGTGATTACAAGTACAACACAGGATTTAAAGGAGTTTGGTATAACAGTCTTACCCATAAAGATCATCTGGTCCCTCTCCTCCAACCTACTAGGTTTCACTACCCTCCCTTACCTTCAAAGGAAAAGTCACTCTGTCGTTGGGAGACTTTATAGAATAATTGACATCCCAGACGGACAGTGGGCTTAACATAGAAATACCTAAGTAGCAATTCAAAGTCCCCAAACCTCAGAGCTGGCCGCTGGGCGGCCAACAAGCAGAGCCTGGCACTGAATAGCACACTTGCCACCCAGAGACAGGTCACCGCATGGACACGTGGCTGGAATCGGGACTCCGAGCATGGAGATGACCCTGACCTGGCACCCACCAGCAGCCTACAGGCTGCTGGAAGTTTAAATCTCCAGGTCCTGGGCCCGGCGGCGTGACCTGGCGGCTAAGGTCCTCGCCTTGAACATGCCAGAATCCCATATGGGCACTGATTCTAATCCCAGCAGCTCCACTTTCCATCCAGTTCCCTGCTGGTGGCCTCGGAAAGCAGTCGAGGACGGCCCAATACTTTGGGACCCTGCACCCATGTGGGAGACCTGGGGGAGGCTCCTGGCTTTGGATTGGCACAGCACCGACCGTTGCATTCACTTGGGGAGTGAATCATCGAAGGATCCTCCTCTCTGTATATCTAACTTTGTAATAAAGATAATTTTTTTTTAATCTTTAAAAATAAATAAATAAATAAATAAATAAATCTCTAGGTCCCAAGTTCGCCCCCTCCCCAACCCATCCCCCATGCCATTATGGCAGTGGGTGGAGTCCCGGGCCCTGCCCTAAGCTCCAAACTTCCCCCTCAGGTGAACTCACTGTGAAGGGAGCGGCGGGTGGGCCTTTCCAATAAAAATAAATGATCTTTAATGAATAAATAAATAAATATTTATTTGAAAATCAGAGTTACAAGGGTTTTCATCTTCTGGTGTACTTCTCAGATGGTCACAATGACTAGGCCTGGGCCAGGCCAAAGCCAGGAGCTTCATCTGGGTCTCTCACATGGCCTTGGGCCATCCTCTGCTGCTTTCTCAGGCCACAAGCAGGGAGCTGGATGGAAAATGGAGCATCTGGGGGATGAATGGGCACCCACACGGATGCCTGTGTTGTAGGTGGTGGGCTCAGACATTATGCCACAGCCCTAACCCCTACCCCCATTGCAGATGAGGAAACTGAGGCACAGGGAAGCTATGATGCTTACACCAGCCGCAAGCTTTATAAAGGGGCAGTAACAGGACAGCAGACTCGTGCTTCAGGCCCCCCAGGCCGGGCTCCCAGGACACATGCAGGCCCCTGCAGGATCCTCGCTGGGTGCTGCATCACAGGCAGAGGGCTGGAGAGAACTGGGGCACAGGGCAGCCACGGAACTGCACACCTTGCCCAGGAAATGCTCTTCCCACAGCAGGACTTTGTGAAAGCTGGAAAGAGAAACTGAAAAACTCGCCAGGATGTTGAGGGCTCCAGGCTAGACACTCCCAGCAAGGTAGGCGGGAGCGTCTCTCACAAGAGGCTTTGGACACAGGACTGCTCCACCTTCCTGGGATGAGTGCCAGGTGCTTTGTCCTGGGTCTTGCACCTCCTGCTGCTACATGGCGTACAAACTTCACAGAACCCATTGTTTTACAGGATTCTTATTTTTTTACTTGAATTACAGAAACAGAGGGAGAGACAGGGTGAGATCTTCCAATCAACGGTTTGCTCCTCAAATGTCCATAAGGGCTGGAGCTGAGCTGATTCGAAGCCAGGAGCTTTTTCTGGATGTCCCTCG